TTTACCATAAATACGTCCATTTTTCTCAAGAACTTTTCCCGCCTTCGGTGTCTTTTGCCGTGCAAAAACCTCTAGATAAAGCCGGCACTTGCCGAATCCCCTTCCCCGTCCAGTATTTGACCTAGGACTCGCGGCACATAGCGAGAAGAAATAGTCGCAGGACTTAATCGAGGTGGCTTTAACGAGCCTCAGTCGGAAGGGGTCGGGTCACGGGGAAGTTAGAGTAAAAGCTAAAATTGGGATATCCCTCGCCCTGCCTTCGTCCAGACTTTGGTATGGAACGAAGGGTGGACGCATTAATTACTATTTCGCCCAAGGTTGCCATATTACAAGAACGTTGCGTTTTTCCATACGTCGAATTTTTGCCATAAACTTTATTTTCATTGGACCATTAGTCAAGATGCGAATTCAAGCACTCTGGTCTCTGGCACTTGTTTTAGTATTAAAATTTCACGATTTGCAGACGAAATTTTCTGAAATCAACCCCTAAATTAGATATCTAACGTTTTCCGATGCGTTAATTTAAACCTCCCACTCCTGAAAAAACTTAAATCTATGCGAGTCAAATCGTGCAGTAAATGTTACCAGAAATTATTACGGCACAGCACGGTACTACTGGAAATTATTACGGTAATATTTACAGGGATTAGGAATACAAAATTGAAACGGTAACACTTTGGTAACTTATGGTAACTGGTACTTGGTACTGGAACTTGGTAACTGGCTTTGGTAACTCGGTAACTTACAGTAAAAATGTAAGGAGAATGGAAGCTGTAGTGATCTTATTAAAGCGATATCACATTCAAAAGTTGAAAGAAGGACACAAACACACAGAACTTCATTCAGAAGTTCATCTCTGCGATACGAAAATATGGCAACTTCAATCTTGGTGCTTTGCCTCAGTTGTTGCACATTTTTAACACTATGAACAATACAAGGCGTGGAAGGAACGGTGCTCGATTTAGAACCCTGCCAAAATCTTTGTAGTGCGTGATTTGATTCAAGTAGGCAATTGTTTTTCTTTTCAGCGGAGAGTTCGAAATTACCGTAACCAATGTGAACTAAAAACGTTAATCTCGTAGTTAGAAGTTGATTTTAGTGATTTGTGTTGCCCAAAACGTGTTCTACGTGTAATTTTAGGAGTCATTGATCAATATTTTAAAATTTGCACCTTGTCTGGTGGTCCACTGCCCATAATATCGTATTTTATCTAGATTGGGTATCCTAACAATATGTTCTGAAAAATCAACATGGGAATTTGCAAATTCTCCAAAAAGAGCCTTAGGGAAAATATACCCCTACTTTATGACTCTTACTTAAGATGATACTTTTTCAGGATACCAAATCTATTTGCTTTCAAAATTGCGATAGTCGAAGTTTACACTCATCCTTTTTTATCTTGATGCTAAATTGAAAGCTAAAGATGCAGCCTGGCATCTTTGTTAGAATTTTCCTTCCTTTAAAGTCATGAGTGGGATGTCTCAATTAATTTCTCTAGTCTCCTCCCCCTCACCCCCCCCCCTCAAACCGCGGGATGACCTTTTGTCTCCGACAAGGGAGGAAGTTAGTGGTGAATCTGAAGCCCACTCCATTTGGCCCGCCCGGTTGAGCCGGCTGATTTTTAGCGGAAATTACGCGTGAATAAATGCACATGCTTACTCAAGCAAAGTCAGTTATATGCAGAAACAACCTATTTCTACGAAGTATATGTATGCGGTGCGTGGTTATTGATTCAATTCTCGGGAGGTGGACTTGCTGTGCTGACCTAAACTCACGGCATCAAGACATAATAGCAGAGGCGGTCTATTCTTATACACTGCTGTTGCGTCACCGTTACCATAGAAATGCAGTTTTTGACCATCTTTCCAGTGTGCATCAGAGTGGTAGCTTGAGTGGATTTTGATTGTCCTTGCTTCGTACATTTTCTACTTTATCATCCCTTTGAGGTCAAGATATCTTCAGTCTCTTATGTTCAGTATTTGTCATTTCAGTATCTGTCATTAAACTACGTGTGTTCTGTAAGTCAATTGTATTATTTCTTATGGTATTATTGCACTAAAGCTCATGTTCTTAGCACGAGATTGGAGGGGGAGATAACCTCATCTTTTTTGGAATAAAACATGGAGAAACATNTGCTATCAGCTGATGTTTTATTTCCATTTCCCAGCCAAGTCGACGGAGTCTATACGTCCTTTCTTCATTGAATACATTTACTAACACCTGAGCGCTTTTCTAATACGACAGTATTAGAACTTTCCCGCTTGTTTTATCTTGATGCTAAATTGAAAGCTGGAGATGCAGCCTGGCATCTTTGTCAGAATTTTCCTTACTTTAAAATCATGAATGGGTTGTCTCAATTAATTTCTCTAGTCCCCCTCCCTTCATCCCCCCCCAAAACCGAGGGATGACCTTTTGTCTCCGACAAGGGAGGAAGTTAGTGGTGAATCTGAAGCTCACTCCATTTGGCCCGCCCGGTTGAGCCGGCTGATTTTTAGCGGAAATTACGCGTGAATAAATGCACATGCTTACTCAGGCAGAGTCAGTTATACGCAGAAACAACATATTTCCACGAGGTTTAAGTTTTCGGTGCGTGGTTTTTGACTCAAAGCTCGGGAGGTGGACTTGCTGTGCTGACCTAAACTCACGGCATGCAGACATAATAGCAGAGGCGGTCTATTCTTATACACTGCTGACTACTGAAAACTGTCTTCTCAGTAAAAGTGAATTGCTTACAGTGACAGATATTCAATGACTGTGTTCTGGAAAAACGAAAAATGATGAGATTTTACTTCGACTTATTGTTTTTTTTCCCACTCAAAATCTCGCTTAAATACCTACTTGTGAAATGTGGAGAGCTCGCGATTTTGTTTATTTGAAGAACCAGTCTATTTTTTCCGGAAGATAGTCATGTTCTTTACTAAAAACACACAACTTATTGGATGCAGACTTGCGAGTTAAGAGTATACAGGGTGTCCCAGACCAGGGGCGTGGCGTGAATTGCGATGTATCGATTGTTACGGCATTTAAACCTATGATAAAGAATCGATTATTAAGGTTTTCGCTGCGAACACCTTAATAATCGATCCTTTTCCACAGGTTTAAATGGCATAACAATCGATATATCGCAAAGCACGCCACGCCACTGTCCCAGACCATCCTGTATTATGACTATCAACGTAATAAAAAAAACCCATTATCATTTAATTAATTTCTTAAGTCAAGGAAGCGTATTTACCCTCAAATTCCAATTCTTCATTGGAATGCGCGAGAATTTTTACGGTGGTTGGAAGACGAACACAAAAGATTCAGGTGAAATGTTTCTGAGTTCATTTATGAAAGGATACGCAAGTAACAAAAGAAAATATTGAAACACCGAAATGGAGCTAGGTACGTAGTGAATTTAGTCATCGATTAGTGTGAAATAAGTAGATATGGACCAAAAAGCAATTCTTCATTGGTTCCGAAGTTCAACCATTGGTTACGAAGCCTTGGTTCAACCTTCATTGGTTACGAAGTTTTTCCTTAGCACGGCAGTGCTAAGGAAGAACGTAATATGAGCCTTCAGACGTTGCCACATTTCCTTCAATAAAAACCGAATTTACTTGAAAAACTGTGATTATTTTTCTTCAAATGTTCCTGACACTTTTATTCGCACCATAATCGAAAATGGCTAAAAACGTCAATGAAAAATTTGAATAATTTTCTTCAAAATACATGTTTTATCCGGGGCAATTTGGCAACTCTCGAATGTTCATACGCCGTTCCTCCTTAGCACGGCAGCATAATGCGTTGACCGTACAAACAAGCGATGGTATGAGCATGAGCTGACTTTCGTAAATCCAGTACCTGTCGCGCTAAGGGAAAACGCCGTATGAGCATCCAGACGTTGTTACATTTCCTTCGACACATCGCGAATTTTCGGGGCGATTTGTGAGTATTTTTCTCCAATTTTCCGGAACATTTCGCTCGTAATCCGATCTGAGGTGTCTGAAAATGTCAAGACAAAATATTCAAAACTTTTTCCCGGAATAAATATTTTCCGGGTGAAAATCTGTCAACATCCAATTGCTCGTACGACGTTTCTCTTCGGCACTACGGCGGAGAGTGTCTCAACGGGACGATGAATCATTAGGCGACATCAACATCGCTGAGCGTGGCAGAGGCCCGAATAAACGGGTGATCAGTGATTGAACGTCTTCCTGCTGCCGCCCCCGCCCCCGCCCCCTCCCCTTGCCCCTCCTCCTTCAGGTTGACGTCGTCGCGGGGAACCGCCGAAATCGCAAATCGCAGCGGGACGCCCAATCGCTATCTCGCAATTAGGATCTAAAGGGATATACGGCATCCGCCAAAGTCACTTTACCTACCCCCGCTCCGCCTTCAACAGTCGTTCCAGGCCGCTTTGTTGTCAACTGGACTGAGTTCAGCAGAAAAGAGCCAAGTATGCATTGCCGTACCTGAAAAAAATGGTATGCTGTGTTAGCACCTAGGATGTCAAAAATGTGTCTGGGGATCCCAAGATGCTGCCTTGACTGCCCACGCAGTTAAATTTGCATTCATAGGATGTAAAGTTAACTGCGGGGGCAGCAAAAGGCAGCATCTTGGGATCACCAGACACATTTTTGACATCCTAGGTGCTAAAACAGCATATTATTTTTTTCAGTGGTGTTTAGGAAAAACGTCCTATGAACATTCGAGTGTAGCCAAATTGCCTCTCAGAAAATATATATATTGAAAGAACGTTCTGAATATTTTTCCTTGACATTTTCAGGCCATCTGGATCAAATTTCGAAGCATATTCTGTGAAACCCGCAAGAAAAACCCGTATCAATATTCCCGAGAGTTAGTGATGTGTCGAAATCCTCTGTAATTTGAAATTAAGCACCTAATAAAAATGTAACACGAAGAAAAGAAAAATACATCGATACAAATTCCTTGTTAGTGGGTGTAAGGTGTATTCTAATTTCTGAAAGTTAACCATTGTGCTGTTTTTTATGTTTCAGGCACATCAATCGGTGGAAAGTTAAATGATATGAGGAATGCTGCAACTCGAGGTTTTATTGCGTAAGTTAATTTTCGTAATATCAATTTTACGCCGTTTTTTTCAAAACAAAATAACAGATGAAATTTATAGCTAAATCGTGTGAGTCAAAACCCAATGGTACAAAAATAATATAGGAGAATGCTAAGATCAAAATATTTACACTCATGTCACGTCTTAGATTTAGCATATATCAATTATACTCACCTTATATATGAATATGAGAAACTTTTAGATTTTAGAAAACTTTTAGAGTAGGAACAAATAATTTCTCAAAATGAAGGTATCCAACGTTTGAAGGCAAAGCGGTTGATTCTGCAAAAATTATGCAGGAAAATTTCAGACCCCCTAGACCCCTACCCCCCTTGTCCTCTCCACTGATTTAATTTTGTAGGAACTGCACGCTCTTTGGTCGCTAGAAGTTTCGTTAGAGAAAGAAATCAGAAAGTGAGCCAAAAATGACGCACAAAAGTAATAAACTGCAGAGATTTCCACAGGTAGTAGTATTATCAGCAGTGATTGAGGCCGAGGGAAACCAGACTGCTTCAGGCTTTCCATTTATTTAAAATCAGGAAAAAATAAAATTTCCAGAGGCATGAAAATTGGAATTCTCGGGTACCTCATTTTTTGCCCCATCTGATCATACGTAATTTCTCATGGACGGCGGTATTACTCTGAATGGTTGTAGGATTCAGCAATATTTTCAAAGACGGCAAAAGTTTACAACTTTGCAAAACTTTTTCTCGTTTGTTCGAAGTTTCAGAAATATATATTCCTTGTTCTTACGATCTGGCAATAGTGTTTGAAAAGCGTATCACAGCTGAGCATTCATTTCAATTGCTGTGGTAATGTCGTCTTGCACAACAATTGAAGCTTCTTTGACGGTGAGACTATGTCGTACGTCGCGGGCCTGTATTTTGTGTGCCGCTCGTTGCATAACTGTCCAGGGGCCCACTCTACACGCCCATCCCGGTGACATGCACAATGAAAGGACATGCCAGTTTGTTTCAGCGGCACAAAAGTGCAATTTTACCTCCTACCAATTTCAAAATAAAAATAAGAGGAGAAGGAAAAAATAGCTGGGCTTCTTGCGGTTGAACTGATTTATTTTGATGTAGGAATACAAGTTTGAGAATCCAATTACGAAAATTATGTCTCCATGAATGGCGTATAACCCATAAGATACGACAGACTTGAATTTTGGTAAATTCATCCGAAAGAAGCTCCAATCAATAGAAATTAACCTAAATGCACTTTTTTATCAGGGGAAATTCAGTAAAATTCGAATATTCGTACGGCGTTTTTCTTAGCATGGTACAGGAGTGCAATGATCTGGGGCGCGCTGCGTAGTAACGCCGTATGAGCCATCAGGCCTCGCCAAGTTTCCTTCGTCAATCAAGAATTTTGAGGAAAATTTCTGAATCTCCTCTCCGACTTTTCAGAGGATTTCGTTCGTAATTTGACCTACAAAGTCTGAAAATTTCAACAGAAAATATTCACATCTTTCTTCAAAAATAAATATTTTCACAGGAGAAATCTGGCAAGATTCGAAGGCTTATACGGCGTTTTTACAGGACGGCAGTGATGCACCCTGGGCGTAACCGGATCGAGCAGTGATTCTTTCCTCAAATTACAAGCCGCCAAGAACCCGGTCCCCCGCGGCCGGAATCTGATCTCTTCCCAACGGGCGAGGCAGCGGCCCCACCACCGGTAGTGCTCATTAATTAATTGCCCGTAATAATTTACTCCGTTTACGATACTCTACGAGAGCCTCGCGCGGCACAAGGAGCCGAGATCCGATCGCTTTAATGAAAAATTCATCATCCACCCTCGCCGCAGTTTTCCCTCAGACTTTCTCTCACCAATAAGCTTGAATCATGGATTCGACCGAGCGGTTAAGAGATCAGCCACTTAGTGGGTTGTATTCAAGAAAGGCCATTAAAAGGCTCCAAATTGATGGCTAAATTGCGAAACCACGTGACCTCCCGAAGGATTTAGAATATCGTCGGTGAAACTACCAAACCACGTAACTCGTTTGCGGTGTTTAAAAATCTACGCTCACATTTTATTTTTTTGAAGTTGACCAAATCAATATCATTCCTCGAAATTTTCACGGAATTTTCTCCGCACAAAGAGGAAAAATCACAGAAATTTTCAAGACTGGATGTTGAGTAGTTTTTCATTTAAAAAATAAAGTATGACAGGAAGTCTGCGACGTCGCAAACCGAGATACGTGGTTTGGTAGTTTCACCGTCGATCTGCTTCCAAACCTCACGATCAGGGTGGCAAAATTTCATGAAAAATAAAATCTTGAAATTTCAGAAATTCATGAAAGATATTGAAATATATCGGTTCCTCTTCATACCTCGCAAAATGTAAGAATTGTGACTTTCGTATATTTTTGTGTGTTTGAGTGCGGGTTACATAATCTAGCTCCTGAAAAATATGAAATATTTCACAGCCTCGTGAAATTTCATGAAATATTTCACTGAAATTCCCAATCTTTCATTTCTTTCTTTCGTTTCATGCCACTCTGCTCACGATTTGCATTTTCTAGTTTTTCAAAGTTTCAATTTTCTTTTTTCTATTAAATTGCTTGTCAAGTCTGCCGTGCGAAGGAAAAATGCCATACGAACATTCAGCCGTTACCAAATTTCCTTCGATAGAACATGAATTTCCTGCCAAACTCATGAATTCTCTAAATTTTCCAGCTAATTTTGTTCGTAATTTCTCCTAAAGTTCCTGAAAATTTCAAAACAAATATCTGTAACGTACTTTCCTTATAAATAAACATTGTACCGAGGGAAACTCGGCGACGCTCGAAAAATTCACACGGCGTTCATCCGTAGCACGACAGAAGTGTTCCTTAATATCACAAACTACGATTAATCGAAGAAAATACATCACATTCTAGTGAAGAAACATTTTGAACACTAGCAATTGAACGTATTTGTATCAAAGGGAACTATGTGCATTAAGACATTAGCCCTGAGACCCATAAGAATATCGACGGCGTAAGTCTGCAATCACAAATCTCATTTGCGGTGTCTGAAAATATCCGCCTCTATCTTATTTTTTTAAAGGAGAACAAATTGGCAACATTCCTTGAAGTTTATGCAGAATTATCTTCACACAGAGAGGAAAATTCAATGCAGTCTTGAAGAATTGCCGTTGAGTAGTTTTCTGTTTAAAAAAATAAAGTATGCCAGGAAGATTGCGACGTCGCAAACCGAGTTATGTGATTGCCGACTTGCACCGTCGATATGTGCATATCAGGGCTCACGTCATTATGCACATAGTTCCGTTTGGTAGAAATACGTCCAATTGCAAATCTGTATCTGAAGCTTTTTTTCAGAGCTGCTATTGGGCTTCATTATCAACATGCATCATCAACTGCGCTCTTTATCTCCACGACTTAAGGCATTTATGCATTAACTCAAAGGATACCAAGCCGCCAAAAGGACGTATTTATGCTGAAAAGAACTATGTTGCACGCAAACCCTATATGTACATAGTTCCTTTTAGCGTCAATACGTCCAAATCTCGTCGCTCCTCTGGCGTAAAAACCGTATCTCGATCTCCGCACGAGCCCCAGAAAGAATAGGTTTTTATGTAAAACAGGGCTCACGTGGAAATGCAGTCACGCCCTTACGCTAGAGAAACGACGATTTGGTATTTGGGTTCTCGTTTTAATCTCGGCGGCCAGGATCAGAGGATCGAGCCCGTGGTTTCTTCCGAACCAACTGTAAATCTAGTTTTGTTTTCAATAATTTATCGTGAGCTACGTGAACGGAATCAATTTATGACTCCCAATTCCCCCTCCTCTCCTCTGCCCCTCGCGGTCCATAGGTCAGAAGTTGGAGCACATGAGAGCCCCGGGGCAAAGAGGATCGCGATCGCAGCTCCATTCTTTGTAGGCCTTTTCAGTTTCGTCGTTAATTTTAAATAAATTCCACGGATAAGAGATTAGACCTACGTGTCGCAGATGCTCTCTACTACGATATGCTCTTTATTTTTAGTTATTTATTCTGACGTCATGCGCGGACACGTAGCCAGGTTTTTGTTACGGAAGGGGAAGGGTCGCCCACGAGGTTGACCGGAGGGCGCGGGGGGGGGGGGGGGTGTATTCATTTGCTCCTTAATTTTCTTTTTTTTTCCTATTGAATTTCGGCGAATGGGGCAAACTAGAGCCACCAACCTTCTTGAAGAAAAATGGAACAAAAAAACCCGAGAAGCGCACATATTTTGGTGAGTGTTCGGCTCTACTCTACATGCTCCTCTGACCTATAACTATTAAATGAAATAATCCTCTAAGAGTGACAAAATTTTGAGGCTGCTATATCGACTAATTTTTACAAGTAGAACTTCCGGCAGCCCTGACCTATAGGAGACCCTTCGAGATGAGTGGAACCACAAGATTAGCTCAAAGCAAAATCACATCGTACCCCCAAACAACACTGAAAAAAAATTCTCGGCGTTTTTACCAAGGTCCGTTGGTACCTTTACCATCTCACTTTGTTTACCAATTATTGGTAATTCTACCAAGACAGACTGGTAAGCTTATCTAAAAACCGGTATTTTTACTGTATTTTTCAGGTAAGAATACCACTTTTATTGGTAATCAATTCCCGGTAACTTTGCCATTTTATCTCGGTAATTCTACCACAGTCGAAAAAAAATATTGGCGTTTTTACCAAGGCCCAGTGAAATTACCGAGAAAGTTCAATAATTTTACCGAGATTTCTGGGTAAAATTACCAATTCCATAAATGGTACTTTTACCAAGAAAAAACTGGGATCAAATAGAACCCCGAATTTGTGGTAATTTTACTCTTTCCTTTGTAAATACACCGAGATTTTTTTTTTCAGTGAACGTGTCTCGGTTTGTGACGTTTATATTTTAAATAGAAAACTACTTATCGTTAATTTTTAAGACTTTGAAGATTTTTCTTCACCAAAAAAAGATTGTGAAGAATTCGTGGAACGATGTTAATTTTTTTCCTCCATAAAATAAAATGGGAGCG